CATATATATAATTATAATAATTTATATATATATATATATATATTATCGCTAGTGGAGACTGTGGGTTGCCAACATATAATATTGAGCTCTTGAATACAATATGGTTTAGTTCGAATTTTAGAATGCAAACGGGTACACTTCCTGCATGTTACAAAACGTTCATTAATGAAACACTTGAAGTATACGGTCTAAATCTGAGATAGATACTGATACCATGTACCGGATTGATCTAAACTTGTCTATCTCATTTTTCAGGCGAGCCCTCAGCAAAATCTCGTTCGCTTGTTGTGACTATCTCTGGAACGGATCACATCGGTATCGTCGCTGCGCTCACCAAGCGCTTAACAGAATTCGATGGCTGCGTTCTCAAGAGTAAAATGGCCCGTCTGGTATGTGATGGCTACTAGTGTTTCTGCTAGTGTATCATTAATGCACTCTGTACTTTGTTGGTGATTACAGTCATGTGATCGTTATGCGATTGTTAGGTTTTTATATGTATAAATGACGCACCTACATTAGTTACATACATTTGCAAGATATAGCGGAGGATGTTGCGTTGCATGCGGAAATGGTATTTGTCGTCTTGCGCTGTGCACCACTTCTACACTCTTGTTCACTGTGACCTATTGTGTTGACTATATGAAATGCGACTGATATTGCTGTTTAACAGGCACGCCTCTGTATAAAAGCTATTTGTGTTGAATATTTGCAGTTGCTAGTAATGTATTTGTCGGTACCTTATCCACACACATCCGTAGGGCTATTGGCAAACAAGTACATACGTATTGTATCTAGCGCCCAACTCGTTATCGGAGGCGTCCACAGCCATCATATTGTTCTATTTCATTTGCAAACCATGACATGTACTTTTGATCTTTCACCGCCTGGATTCTGACGTACCTGTATTTTCATGCTTCCTACAGGCCGGCGAGTTTGCAGTCATTGCACACGTCGACCTGAATAAGCCCTACAACACAGGCCTACTTACAGCCTTGAATACGGACTTACCAAATTATGCGGTACGTATCGTTGTTTGTGCTCTCTTTATGTTGGCGCAGCCAGTTTGTTTCCATATAACGTTGTGAATACTGGCTCGGGAAGCTGTGTGATGTACTTGAATTCGGTGATTCTCGGGGCGTGTGTGCTCGACGCGATTAGTTCGCTTGGCTCAGTTTTTGTGTGTGTATCTTTTCGTAGCGTGGATATATTGAGACTACATACCTGGAGTTATGTAGGTGTGTTGACTTGTTAGTAGTATGTACGCCATTGTGTATGGTGTTCGGTGACAATGCGAAGTGAGAATACTTATGTGTGTATATATTTGTTCTTGATGACTTGTTTATAAGATACGGGGGTCTACGAATAAATACAATGCGAGTTCAAGCGCACTACCCTACAAACAGCTTCAATTGAGATCAAAAACGCTTTGTTTTATCGATATACACACTTCTACATGCATGCATCGCCCACAGCACGCGATAAGAATTAGAGGTTCACATATATAATATATTTATATTGTTCATACATGCATACACGCATGCATACGCAGGTGAATTTGCTCAGTGCTTTTTCTGTGTGAGAGCGCGTTTACAAATGCGTCTCACATTAAAGTATGAAGTAGGGGAATCTGTATACTAAGCGCGAACATATATATATCATATTTGTGTGTGTATGTACGGGTGTAAACATACAAATACGGATGAGTAAACGCAGTTCTTCTACTGTGTATACACCTCAAACTTCATAGGCGTGAAGTTACATGCAAATGGTGGGATTCTGCAAGCTAAAAGCGATTCTTCATTCGTAAACTAATTTTCCTCCATATATAAATATACATTGTCATACACTACACAGGTGAGTATACGAAGTGCATCCCCCCAACCCCCGCCCATAGACGGTGAACGCAGACGGTCGTATATGTGCACTTTCGAAGGCCCGAACGAGGCCACGACCCTCACAGAGATCTCGGCCACGTTTGCGAGCCTCAACTGTAATATAGACGACCTCGATAGCGACGTGGTACACGCACCTTTCGCGGGTTATAAGGTGTTGAAAGCAAGGGCGTACATATCCTTCTCGGAAGAACACACGGCTAGTGTAAAGAGTGGATTGTACGGACTTATGGACACGCATACGATGCATGTGAGCCTGAAGGATGTTACTGATAGTGTCAGTGATACCTTAGAGCTCACGCATAGTTTGTCGTAGGGGTTCTTTTACATACATACATATAGATACTCTAGGGTGTTTTTAGCGCAGCTTTTGTACATACATGTATTTACATCAAAATATTGTAGGAGTCTTGGTAATGATCTATTTTAGGTTCTTAGGCTTAGATATACTCTGGTTCTGTGTCTTACTTCTGTAGCGCTTTCATATGTCTGCAGAGGCTGTGGAATTGACTGCTCGTACAGATAACTGTTTTGTCGTACGAGTGGTTTGTTCTCCCGCACTCCTTACTTGTGTTCTGCTCCACAGCTGCAAATATGATTATGTACACATAGTACTGTATCAAATGTGAAAGCCTCTTCTAAGACTGGTATACTAGTCCGTACCAAGACATCGCACCAGTCCCTTCTCATAAGGTTGTGTTTTCAATCAGACATCAGTTGTTTTATAACTGTAAGTAGTTTTGGATGCCAATAAAACATTCAGTGATTTTGGGTGTCTACTATAACATAACATTCAGCGATTTTGGATGTCAATAAAGCATTCATTTATAGTATTTCGATATCAGATGTATGATTCGGATGGAATGTCCTTTATTGAAGTCTCGAAATATGGTCGACAAAACCTCAAAAAATTATAAAAGGTAATAAATTTGTGGCTTCCATTCAGTTGTATTATATATATATATATATATATATATATATATGTGTGTGTGTGT